ATGACAGATCCCTGAAGTGATTTTCCAGTTGGTGTTAACATCACCCTCAATGAAACTGATTTAGATCCCTTTCTTTCCTACTACAATTCCAACGCAAACAACATTCAATGCTTCCTTTAAAGCTTCCATACACGATATGAATTCACACAATACTGTAAGAAGCAAAATTCCCCAAAGCACTCCTGCACCTTTTTTTTCCTACAGCACTAACATTTGTGACTACCACAGAATATCAACAAGGCCTTTCTTAATTTTAAGCTCACGTGCTTTTTCAAAAGGTGTATGAATTAAATAAGCCTTACACAAACACTTTGTTAGGGCTACTGTGATTTAAGCTACCTCCTGCCTGACTGCAGGTGAAGAAAAACAGACCTTGTGGCACATACCAAAGATCAATAAATCATGTGCTGTCAAACAAGGAGGAAAAGTTCTTACACCTATTTAAAATATCAAGAACATCTGCAAATAAATGAGGTATTAGAGAGTCAAATACAAAATGAAAAGACTAATGCACATCAAAGTTTTACTCTATTAAAACATTAATGAATATATTAACATGAGCACTAACCTAACAGAATCCTTTAAAGTATTTTAAAAATAACCAACACAGTCTCATTATTTAGAATACTTAAAAACAGTCTCAAAAGCATATGCTAAAATTTCATAAAATAAAATTAGGGTTCAGAACCCTAATTTTAAGACATTAGACTATTCCATGATGGAATGTCCATACACACACACACACACATGTACACACACACACACTTTTTCACCAGGAAGCATAACCCTTTGTTCCCTAATCCCCAGTTGTATGTTTAATGATCACACATAAAACACTTCCATCCAACAGAAAAACCGCAGTTCCAGCATGTTTAATTCTTTGGAAATGAACATCTACATTGCTGAAATGGCATTAGAGTGACAAATGACTATAATCCAGTGGCCCAAGGCCAGCAACTTCTATTACAACAGATCTGGCTGTTTTGTACGACACAGCATGTTGTGTGTCGACCACTAAACAGAAATGAGACTGCTCAGTTTACCTATAAACAAAACCCCACTTAACTTTACAAGTGTTTTAGCAGCTACATGGATGGAAAAAGCAGTGTGTCTTATGCAACTGCCTCCAAAAACTGAATTTATTAATAGGTAGATGGCTGGATCCATTCTAAAACGTCTCCAGATCAGTGCTATAGGCTAGAATGCACAGAATAAATAGCAGTGATTCACAAAACCTGTGGGTTTTAGTCTATTTGCATGCTTCCATATAGTTCCAAATTTAAGTTCTATGTCAGTTTTCCCAGACTTTCTTTTTTTAAGTCAAGCAACCCACATTCACCCAACTTTACTCTGCGTGGATTCACCATTCACATTTTAGAAAGGCAAATGATACCTCCTGGCTACCGAAACTCTCAGCTTCAGCTGCAGCCTGAATTCCCAAGATCACAGAATCCCTCAGTAACTACTCACTCCACGGGCAAAAGGATGAACCCAGATCCTTCTAAGCAGTGAGAGCAGGGCTCAAAAAAACAGAGGGGGAGACAAATCCAGCTTCTTCAGCCCTTTAAAACACAGGACAGCAACTGAGCAGCAGCTGCAGCAAGAGGATGCACTCGAACACCTCTCCCCAAATGCACCCACAGCAGTCCTTTTCCAGAGCCATCTTTTATTCTGTGTTCAGGGTGTCCCCCATATTTTCACAAACCTGACAGAACTCACACTGCCCTCTCCCCAGATGCTTCTTTCTGCCTGTAAGGACACTCCAACATCACCCACACGTGCCCAAGAAACTCACCCAGGTGCAGAACAACCAATTTTTAACACTATTTTAGAGACATCGATTTCCTAATCACCACAAACATCAGGCAATGCAAAGGCAGCACAGCACAAACGCCTGCAGAATGTTGCCTTTTTTTTCTTCTTCTAGAAACAGCTCTGGCTTAAGGGAACATCAAACTACACCCTGCCAGGGAGCAACCCTCCAAGCCGGCCATAAAAGAGGCCGTTTGCAGTGCTGTGTTTCAGGGAGTCGGGTTGCATGCCACGTTCCGAGTTCCAGTTCTTCTGGTTGCCAGGCCAGACACATCCTGGGTGAGGATGAGCAGCTCAGGAGCTTGTTCAGCTTTTTTTCTGAGCTCAAACCCGCCCGGTTTTCACTTCAGCCAGGTTTGGGGGCAATGCGGTACGTTTAAAATGGCACCGCGTTCATTTGACACCACGGTGATGGGGAAGGAACAAAACAAGCATAAATGATTCATTCTGCCATGGTATGCTTTCTTCTGCTTAACTTGTTTTCACAGGAATTCATAAATGATGCGCCTGTATTAATTCTCTCCATGAAAAACAACAGAAAGAGGGACTAAAACAACAGTTTACACAGTTCTGACAGTTTTACTCTTTCCAAACAGGGAAATAGTTTTTAAGCTGCTTTTTTTTTTTTTCTTTAAGAGATTTTTAGACGCCCTTGATGACAAATGGTTTTAACTAGATCAGCTTAACATCTTCAGTGTCATGTAGTGATACAGCAGGTTTACTTCTAGCTCACATTAAAAAAAGGGCAGATTTTGAATTTAGCCAGCACACACCCAGAAGACTGACAGCGACACTTAAATATCTCATTAAATGATTATGAAATAATGACGTGGAACACAGAGGTACAAACCAGCCCTAAACCATGTTATCCTTCACTCCTGTGCTTGCTGACGAGCTGATCATCCAAAATTAATCCCCCTTTGGAAATATCTGATATGAGCGTTTCACGATTCGTTTGTCACGACGCACGAACCGACTGAGGAAATATTTCTGCCTGCCCTTACGTGATCCATCCATCGGCAGGAATCTGACTGTGCATTTTAGCTGTAAGAGCAGCAGCATTTCCTTGGAGGCCTTTTCCTCTGTGTGTTACAAAAAATATCTCAATTATTGTACACCCAAATTACGGTGATATGGAAAAATGACACGCTTTTCCCCACAACTCTGCATCATGACACGAACACAATGACTCAATAATGTTATTTATCTTGTGCTCAGAACAGACAACTTTTAGCAAAACTCTTATTTTTCCTACTGATCTGCAACAGCACCGTTCTAAAATAAAGAGGAAAAATCCCACACGTGAAACTGCATCCCTGAACTTCTCTTCAGGCTTTTCAGCCAAAAGAGTCCAAAACATTGTTACCTTAATCCAGCATTACAGCACCATATTGTTCTAGAATTATTCACATAAATCCTAGACAGCACCTAAATAAACTGTTTAAATTTGGAAACAAAAAACCCCCACAAAAATAGGCTGCTTAGTGACATGAACAAAGCACCAGCTAAAAGATATCTTACAGACATGCTTCCAAATTTTATATAAATTTACACAGCAATCCTCAGGAGACCCAAATATCTGCATTAACCTATAGAAGGAGTTGATTTAAAACAGCAGATGTTCAAGTTACTACTAAAGATGAATTTACAGTCTAGTTTTAATTTCAGCTCTGCAGCACTTCACTGTCAACTAAATTATCAGCTTCATGTGTTTTTGTTTCAAGGTCCACCAACATAATTAAGTACAGACAGAAAAATGTCCTTAATTCTTCTAAATCAAGAAAAAAGCTGCAATGTAAACCCCAAACCTATCAAACAGACCACATGCACTGCTGAGGGGAGGGGAAAGTAAGGTGTGAAATAACCCCTGAGTTGGGCATTCAATCATTCTGACAAACCTGATCGCAATTATCAGTCATTAAGACAGTTAAAAAAAGTCCAAAAACTAAGTGAGTTTCCTCCACTTGTAAAAGAAAAGAAAGAAAACTTGAAGGACGCCAAATTTTCAATCGATTTCAAATTTTAAACAAACTCCAGAAATTGCAACGACCCTCAGAACAGCTACATAAACAAAATCACTCCCCTCTTGCTCTCCAATATAAATAAATGAAGCCGGACAAGAAGTGTCAATACAGTTTTCACCCATTACAAACTTTTGTTTATGGAACAATCCCTATCAGTGCTACCAATGCACAACTTCATTTGATGTGTACATTAACTGCCTTCAGAAAATACAAAATTCAGAATAAAGCATCACCTTCTTCGAAATAACTTATATTTTATGAACTATATTTTCTGTTATGAAAGACACGGATTCTTAACAAAATTATCTTTAGCGGCACCAAAGTTTTCTAAACTTTATTATTTGCTAAACGCAAAGTCGCACGAAGTCTTGCAAATAAACACCTCAGCGCTGCACACGCTTTTCCTGACATTTCTGCTTTAAACCTTTCTGGGACGAAAAACCTTAGAGGGAAAAAGAAAGAGCGAAGTGAACCCATTCAATCATTTGCCCTAAGCACACACTGGATTAGCCCGGGAACCGTGCTGTAAACTTCCAGCGAGAAAACCACCACGGCTGCAGTTTTTTTTCCCACTCCGTGCACAAATCTCCCGGCCGGTTCAGCCAGTGGGATCCAGGGAATCCGCACACGCATCCCCGTGCACGGCGATCTTGCAACACTCAGCCCTTTGCACCCCGATGCGCCGGGGTTTAGCGAGTGTTTGGGCGGGGGGGAGGGGGGAGGATTACTTTACAAATCTCCTTATTCCCTTCTCGTTATAGAATCGCTTCTGTTTCTCCCCCCCTACCCCAAATAAAAAAGCGAACCCGCAGCCATGGGCTCTGTCCCAGCCACCCCCCGGCGGGGGCTCAGCACTGACCCCCCCCCCTCCCCCTCTCCCCGAGCCCCGGCGTGGTGACTCCGACACGGGCGCGGGGCCGCCCCCTAGCCCTCCGGACCCCTCCGGGGTGGGAATTCCGCCGGGGGGAGCGCCGGATCCGCCGCCCCCGCGGGCAGCGAGGCGCCCCCACCGCGCTCCGCACATTCAATGAACGTGCACAATCACCCTGGGCCTACTCCCGGCCACCATGCTCCCCCCCACCCCGGGGCCCGCCCGCCGCCGGGAGCCCCCGTGGGGTCCGGGCGCGGTGCGGCGGGGGCGCAGAGCGCGGGTGCGGGAGGTACCTGCGCGCCGTGCAGGGCCATGGCGGCCCCGCGTCCCCCGCGGAGCTCGGCGGTCCCGGCCCCTCACGCCGCCGCCCCCGCCGCCGCCATCTTCTCCCTCGCACGCACCAGCCGGGCGGGCGGCCGCGCGCCGCTCCGCGCATGCGCCGGCCCCGCCCGCCCGCTGCGCGCGCACGGGGCGGGAGCGCAGCGCGCTGAGGGAGCGGGGCGGGAACCGCCCCCTGAGGGGAGGGTGGGAACGCCGCGCGGGAAAGGGGGAGAGCATCCCTAAAAACTTCCATGGAACCCCCCTCCATTGACATGGGACCGCCCCCCTGAGGGGAGCGGGGAGGCACCGCGCGGGAAAGAGGGAGGGGAGCCCAACAAACTTCCATGGAAGCACCGTTAAGCATCTCTCTCACGAGGAGAGGCTGGGGGTGATGGGGTGTTTAGTCTGGAAAAGAGAAGCCTGAGAGGGGATCTCATAACTAAAAGATATATAAATATCTCCCAAAGCGGGTGTCAAGAGCAACATAGAATGAGGGAATGGTTTGGGTTGGAAGGGACCTCAAAGATCATCTTGTTACAACGAGGAGAGGAGAGAGGAGGGGAGGAGATCCCATTATAAATAAAAAATATATAAATATCTCCCAAGGCTGATATCAAGAGCATAATAGAATCACGGGATGGTTTGGGTTGGAAGGGACCTCAAAGATGATCTCGTTTCAACCCCCATGGCATGGGCAGGGATCCCACTTGCTAGACCAGGTTGCTCCGAGCCCCGTCCAACCCAGCCTTGCACACTTCCAAGGATGGGGCAGCCACAGCTTCTCTGGGAAACCTGTGCCGGGATGGCTCCAGACTCTTTTTGGTGGTGCCCAGTGACAGGACCAGGAGCAAGGGACATAAACTAAAATACAAGAAGTTTTACCTCAACTTGAAGAAGAGCTTCTTTTCATTGAGGGTGGCAGAGCACTGGAACAGCTGCCCAGGGAGGTTGTGGAGTCTCCCCCTCTGGAGACATTCCAAACCTACCTGGATGCGTTCCTGTGTCACCTGCTTCAGGTGACCCTGCCTCAGCAGGGCTGGGTGATCTCTGGATCCCTTCCAACCCTAATGATTCTGTGTTTCTGTGATTAGGTCCAACCTGTGACCGATCACTACCACGTCAACTAGACCAGAGGACGGAGTTCCACATTCAGTAATTTCTTGAACATCTCCAGGGATGGTGATTCCACCACCTCCCTGGGCAGCCCATTCCAGTGTTTAATCACGTGAAGAAATTCCTCCTAATGTCCAAATTCTGTCTGTAAAAGGCCACATGCCCAGGGTCCCTCTGCCAGGTGACAGGCTGTGTGCCCAGGTGATGCTGGTGTGAAGCTGTCCCACCTCTGTCCCAAATAACCAGGGTGGGAATGGGTTCAGTGTTGGTATCTGGAAAAAAAAAAAAAAAAAAGAATGACTAAGCCAATCTCATGATTTTGAGAGGCCTGAGTCATAACAATACTGAAACCCCTAGGCAAGAATCCATTAAATTAACTGCTAATGTGCTCCATATTTTTTTCCTTAAACAAACTATGAAGTCCTGCAAAAGTCTACTTTAGTTGGCAAGTGTGAGAGAAAGCTCAACGTGAGTGTGAAAGTTGAAGAGAAGGAAGAAAAGAAGACAAAGAACTTTGTGTGTTTGGCTGTTCAGAAAGGAGGTTCGTGGAAAATGAGAAGATTCTTTCATGTCTCCACGACAAGGACATTTCCCTCCTGTTTTGTGAAGTGCAACACTTACTGTGTGCTGATGACAGTAAATGATTTTCTCTATCAGTTTCTGCCCTTCCAGCTGACACACCCAGCGGCCGCTCCCTCGCTTTTGTCTCTCGCGAGTGTTGCTCTGCTGTCCTGAGGCAGAGAACCAGCAGTGAAAAGAGCTGCTTAATATTAAAAGAGAGAAACAAAAAAGAGAGACAAATGTACAGGCTTTTTGCATACAGCATTTCAAACGTCTGAAAGCCCCTCTCCCCTCGGGAGTCTAATTTACAAGGTAAATAATGGAGCGAAAACCCTTACGTGGCTCGACTGGTTGAAGGCAAAATTCCCTTCTGCCCACAATGCTGCCTAAGTAAACTGACTGCTTCGAAATACAAATGAGCACAGTGTCTCCAGCCTGGAAAGCACAAAATTCAAAGACCAATACTGTTAAAAGCCAGAGCTGATGGGGAAAACTGAGGTGGGACGAAAGGATGTCACTGTCTCGTTCAGCAACATTTAAAACGTCTTCAATTTTATCCCGCCTTAATGTAATTTCATTGTAAAGTCTGTTAACACTTTACCATAATATTTTGTAATAATCTAAGTTTTCTTGTAATATCATGTTTTGATGAAACTTACCTGCTGCAAAGTTCCCACCTCTGTTCTGCTTTATTCCTTTTAGCCATTTTTAGTTGTCTGTTGTTTCATTACTGCTTTCATTGCAGAAAGAAGTTTTATTTTCTTCCATCCTTTATGCTGTGAATTATCGCTCCCAAACCTGTTGCTTTTCCAAATCAAAAATAACCAGTGCTGTGGGGTTTTTTCTGTGTATCCATCTTATGATTGTGTATTCAATCTTAAGAATCATGGAGTAATGTTCCTAACGACATGGAACTGACTTTATTTGTGAATTTATCTACAACAGTCCATGGCTGTGGAAATAAAGGGTTGTCTAACAGCAGCCAGGGAGCTGGATAAACCACTCCCAAGGTAGCTGCCTCTCAGGTGCTACTGTAATTGCTCTTATCCTACTGTCAATGCAAAGTGCTTGGGAATGGCTCGCCCTTCCATGCCACGCTCCGCGTGATTTCACCAGGTCATGAGACCTGTGCTCATGACAGTGCCCAGAAGGTGAAGGTGAAAGACTTTTGAGCACATTGTAGGATGACTTTTGAGGATTTGAAGCACTCAAAACCCTCAGCTCCACTTTTTCAGGGAATGCCTTCCTGTAGCACTGCAGAAAATGGTTGATGGCTGCGGGAGGTTTTGTGCTGAGATTCCCCCCAGTGCCAAGAGCTTCAGGAGCTCTGAAGACTTTTTCTTTAGAGATGCAGAACTTTTATCCCAATAGCTTCTAGGTACAATAAGGGCTTTGCCTACATGAAGTATTTGCAAGCAGCAGTCGCCTCCCCTGGCTGGATCTCAGGGAGGGTCAGTTGGCTCTAAAAATATATTTTAAGTCTTTAGTAGATCATGTGAATGCTTGGCTCAGTGCGTTATGTGTTTCAATTATCAATTTTGGCTAATTAACTGTGACTTATTCATCCCTATCTTAAATACAAGTCTCCTCTTTCCTTATGCAATCATCTCTTAGTGCTGCAGCCTCAAAAGAACCAGCAAAGCTGCACCTCACCTTCCCCTCATGTTCTGTCACCAAACCCATCACGATGAAAACAAAGGCACGTTTTTTTCCCAAGCTACTCTGAGTTCCAGAAGGAACTAAAAAATGTGTGTGGTATCAATAAACCTGTGGCTGAGCTGTGTGTCCCTCACTTAGGAGAAGAGTTACCACTAAGGAGGAAACTGTAAGTAGCTGGAGCTCACCCGTGCTCAGACTCACACAGCGGGGTGGCAGAACCCCTCCATCTGCCCTGACCTGGTCCCTAAGACAACTCAAAGTTCATGAAGGAATAATTAGCACCTCCCTCATTATTGCATTCATGAGAACTGAAATAGGACAAGAAGCTGAAATAAAATACATAAAGCTTGTCACATCAGCTTTTTTTTTTTACCCCCCCAGAAGTTCCTCACTGGTCAGAGCTTCGCTAAGGTCAACAGAAGAATCACAATTTGAATCTGGGCTTGTTTTCTGCAAGTTAAATTGTTCTCAGAAAGAGCACTAAAGGTTAAATTATTTCTTTACATTCCCTCGACACACGACCCCTTTTTTGCTGGCACGCAAAAATACGGAATCCTAAACAGCACACGGAAAATCACCAGCCTTTGGAAGAAAGCAGCCTGATCCCTGATGGGGAAAGACAGACACAGGCACATTTTTCTCAATTTAAGATTTCAACTTGAGAACAAAAATATTTCCAGCTTCTTTCTCAAGCCTTCAAAACAACTGCATCTCACACCACGGTGTAATTTTTCCTCAGGGTATGTCGAGGGATTTATGTAATCTAACGACAGAGTTCCAGGCAGCAGCTCCTTGATGTGCCCATGCCAAGATACAGGGCATGGAAGTGTGGGAAGAGAAAACCTGAGGGTTTTGGTAGCTGTTTTGTTTCAGGTAAAACAAGCTTTTCTCAGAATTTGGCAATGGGAGCCTTTTTAAAAATGAGGTAGAGCAGTAGTCATTTTTCCTCAGGGCAGGAAGAAAGAGCTGTGCTTCCTGGCAAGGGTAAAATGCTTTACAAAGCTTAGGGATGAAGGCAGTGGGATGTGCAGGTGCAGGAGCAAGGCTGGCTCCCTAAGAGCACAGACCAGGATACACCTTTCCTCTGCTGATCCTAATTACTGTTCAGACCTCAAAAAGCAGAGCAGAAACCCACTTGTGTCACACATCTGTGCAGAATTCCAGCACACCAGTTTCCCAAAGCAGTTCAGCAGTTATCTCCCAGCCCCGTGTGCTATCTGCCAACACTTCCCCAGGGATGATAAGCCATGTCTGGGTACACAACATCCAAAATCGAGGGGCACTCTGCCAGACTGTGCCTTGAGCAGTGCTCACTGCCCTGGGCCCTGGAGGTGCAAATGGGAATCGTTTGTTCCTTCAGTAATGGAAAAATCTTATGGCAACAACAGGTACGATCCCCCAGTGACCTCTAATAACACATGAGATGTCCCACAGTCACCCACAGCCTCTGGTTCTGAAGGGACCATACAGACACAGGGGAAACAAAGCTTGCTTTGATGAGTACTGAAAATATCTTTTGTCAATGCAATTAAGTTTAATGTCAGGAAGTCATAACTGTGTTTATCTACTCCCCATTAAACACCATCTTTGAAACCACTCCACAAACTGGATTTTTCATAACTGAAAAAAGGCAAAAAGTAATTTCATAGTATCACAGAATGGTTTGGGTTGGAAGAGACCTTAAAGCTCATCCTGTATCCTGTTCCACCCCCTGCCATGGGCAGGGACACCTT